AAAGCTGATAAACTCTTTCAAAATAACTTGTATTCTCAGGTCATCAGTAGACAGGTACCGATGAGAAGATGGAGCCCGTTCAAGACTCATCTCTTATTTTGATTTATATTTTTGGTGTCTTATAACTATATAGAACACACTTGTATTAAATTATATTATTAATGCAATGGATGATATTGTTGCTTGTTTACTATTATGCTTTGTTGTGATATTGTACATGCCGTCCTCCGCCCCGGAACGTTTCCGCCGTTCAGGTTTTGGGGTGTAACAAATAGGTTGCATGTGCCCTAATCATTTGAATTGTTTAAATGTTTTCCGCTTAGTGTATAGAGATTTTGTAACCTACGTTTTCCATCACTACCTTCCCCTAGATGAGTTCTCTTATAACAACAGTTATAATTCTATTATTGGTGCACCACCTTTTAAGCTTCTCTACGGAAGGAAGTGTCATAAACAATGTGTCTGGAGAGAGGTCAACCACAAGGTCATGTGTAAGACTGAGGTGGTCCTTTACACTACCGATCTTATTCAACAGAGCAGGCATATGTTGCAATCATATCAGAACTGATAGAATAGTTACACCAATAAACAACAATCCAAGTTGGAGTTCCAGATTAGGGATATGGTATACTGAAGGTATCACCCTGGAAGGACGTTATTCCCTTTAGGAAAAGCGGAAAATTAGGGCCCTAATTTATCAAATCATTATGGGTGGTTGTTAGAGTTGGCAAGTTGGCCTATTGATTGGATTTTCCTAAGGAGCTTAGTCAGATTCACAACACCTTCCATGTTTCTTAGCTCCGTAAATGTGTAGTTGACGATGCGCTGGTGATCCCTTTGGATGACATTTAGGTTGACGAGTGCTTGAATTATATAGAGAGACTAATAGTGATTCTAGATAAGAAGAAGAATGCCTTGGGGAACAAGTTGCTACCTTTAGTCAATGTTTAATGGCAGCATCGGAAGGGTTTCGAGTAGACTTGCGAACCTGATGCAAAGATCTGGCAGCACTATGCATAGTTATTTACAACTGAGGACTTCAAGGATGAAGTCTGATTCAAGTAGAGGATAATTGTAACACTAAGTTTCGGGTATGTTTCTTTTAACTAATTTAATATTTTGGATGTTGGATTTCTGGTGGTCACGGTGTGGTGATGGATTCCCACGGCATGGCCAAGGCCAAAGTTTCATGGGCACCAAGCTAGCGCCATGTCGTGGCATCTATTTGCCATGTAGTGGCCCTTGTTTAATGGAAAACCCTAATCTGGGGTGTGAGCCCCTATTTAAGGGAATATGATGGCTAGGGTTGCGCACCCTCAGCCTCCAAGAGAAAACCCTAGCCTCCATTGCAAACCTTTGAGTTTTTGTGTGTTTGGTGGTGTTTTTAAGAAGAAGAAGAAGAAGAAGAAGAAGAAGAAGAAGAAGAAGAAGAAGAAGAAGAAGAAGAAGAAGAAGAAGAAGAAGAAGAAGAAGAAGAAGAAGAAGAAGAAGAAGAAGAAGAAGAGAAGAAGAAGAAGAAGAAGAAGAAGAAGAAGAAGAAGAAGAAGAAGAAGAAGAAGAAGAAGAAGAAGAAGAAGAAGAAGAAGAAGAAGAAGAAGAAGAAGAAGAAGAAGAAGAAGAAGAAAAGAAGAAGAAGAAGAAGAAGAGAAGAAGAAGAAGAAGAAGAAGAAGAAGAAGAAGAAGAAGAAGAAGAAGAAGAAGAAGAAGAAGAAGAAGAAGAAGAAGAAGAAGAAGAAGAAGAAGAAGAAGAAGAAGAAGAAGAAGAAGAAGAAGAAGAAGAAGAAGAAGAAGAAGAAGAAGAAGAAGAAGAAGAAGAAGAAGAAGAAGAAGAAGAAGAAGAAGAAAGAAGAAGAAGAAGAGAAGAAGAAGAAGAAGAAGAAGAAGAAGAAGAAGAAAGAAGAAGAAGAAGAAGAAGAAGAAGAAGAAGAAGAAGAAGAAGAAGAAGAAGAAGAAGAAGAAGAAGAAGAAGAAGAAGAAGAAGAAGAAAGAAGAAGAAGAAGAAGAAGAAGAAGAAGAAGAAGAAGAAGAAGAAGAAGAAGAAGAAGAAGAAGAAGAAGAAGAAGAAGAAGAAGAAGAAGAAGAAGAAGAAGAAGAAGAAGAAGAAGAAGAAGAAGAAGAAGAAGAAGAAGAAGAAGAAGAAGAAGAAGAAGAAGAAGAAGAAGAAGAAGAAGAAGAAGAAGAAGAAGAAGAAGAAGAAGAAGAAGAAGAAGAAGAAGAAGAAGAAGAAGAAGAAGAAGAAGAAGAAGAAGAAGAAGAAGAAGAAGAAGAAGAAGAAGAAGAAGAAGAAGAAGAAGGAACCATTGGGCTTTGTTTTAGCAAGCAACTCTCCATATCCCTCTTGTGTACGTTTTCTAGACTCTGGTAAGTACTTAAGATCCAATCTTTATGTTACTTGTCTCTAGATATAGTCCTTTTGTCCCTTAATCTTCATGGTGTGAAAATAAGAAGGCTGGATCTCATAAAGTTGGCAACTTTATGGAACCATGTGGTCATTTTAGTGTCATATGTTCCAGATTTAAGGATCTATGAAGATTCTGGTCCCATGCTCAAGCACTATATAAGGAACATTAGGATACAACCCTAGCCCTTTATCAGCCTCTCAGAGCTTAGAAAAAACCCTAGAACGTCTCATCCTCTCATTTTTGTGTAATCTTGATCTTGAAAAGCCCATTTTGGTGGTTTTAAGCTCGGAAGAGGAAAGAAGAAGTTGGCAAGGAAGGACTTGGGGTAGCTTGAGCTCATAGATCCGGGATATCATCATCATTTGGGACTCTTTGGATGTATAAAATTCATAACTTTCTTCAAGAATGCTTAGATCTAGTGTAGTGTGGTTTTGAATTCATTTTGGTCCAAAGTATAGAACTTTATGGTTCAAATCTGATTTCTGGACTTAGAGTTGCCACTCTCAATTCAAAATGAGTCCCTAAGGCAGAAAGTTGTCATCTTGAATGTCTTATTGGGTTCATGCATGAGTTAAGATCATCTATGAGAATGGAATGCTATTTTGGAGTTTAGGCTTATTAGGGTCATGCAAAGTCACCAAGTCAGTGACATTATGGATTAAGACGTTGAAAAGGACTTGGATCTATGATTGTAGCTTTTGGATTAGAGTATTAAGCACTTAATGCGAAAGTGACTTAATAGGGGAGTACGCTGAGCGTACATGCAGGTACACCCAGCGTACGTATCAGAGATGGGCCTTGTGAATTTTAGGTCTCGGTTTGGGCCAACCATTGGATTTTGGTTCTTTGGGCCTTAATGGGCCATCAAAAGTCAGATAATGTGGGCCAAAAAGATGTTTCGGCTTAGGGTAAGGCCAATTAGAGGGATTGGACCCAATTTAGCAAATTGGGCCATTAGTGGGCCACTAGTGGGCTTGGGAAGCCTACCTAGTGTTGGGCCTTTTTATATTATGGTTTGAGCCTTAGATATGGACCAAGTTGGACTAGAAGGTAAAATGGTCATTTTACCCTAAGGAGGATTATTGATTTGGACTAAGTGATATTTTGGTATTGATAGCTCGAGGAGTCGAGAGATCAGCAGTTCGGGGATCTGCCAGCTAGCAGCGAGGGGTTATTCGCAGGATTCTATAGTCAACTTTGCGAGGTGAGTTTTCTCCAGTAGGAACGGGTCTAAGGCACCAATACCGACCGATTTATGTATGTTAATGTATACTGGATTTAGATTCGATGTTGGGGTTAGCCCGATGCAGTTTATATGTATCGGATTTTAGTCTGATGTCGAGCGAGGCCCAAGAAAGGTTTATATACTTTCGGTAGCGGAGGGAAGAGCTCGGGATGACTGCATGACACACGCCAAGAAGTTTTAGCATGGGATGCTTACTCTGATAAAAAGAACATGTTTTGAGATGGTACTCTAATTTGATGTAACGATTTTTGTTTATGAACGAAATGGTTGATAATTATAGTTTTTATTAACGATTTAAAACGGAATTTTCGGATCGTGGGATGTTTCACTTTGGAACTATATTTTGTGTGAATTATGGATTTTGTGATTGTTTTAAAAATGAAAATGTCGTCGAAATTTTAAGATGTTACACATGGCTTAGGCAGCTTTGGCGTGTCAGCTATGCCTGGTGCTCTCCTGTCAGCCTTGTATGATACTCTCCAGCCAATCCTGCCTAACACTCTCCTGCCAACCTTGTCTGGCACTCGCCTGCAGCCTTTCCTAGTGCGCACCTCCTGATCGCACCTGGTGCCCCCGGACGACCTTGCCCAACTCCTTGGTGGTTTTTGACCTAATTGTCCCTATAAAGTGAATGGTACCTCCTCCATGGAGAGGATCTTTCCATGGGACCTTCCCTTTAGGATCTTCCACCACTTTCCACCTTCAACCGTCATATCCATACAGTACCACCAACACCAAGATTGTTCTCTCCGACTACGATGAACCATCTCACATCTACCAACCGGTCTAACTTGATTGTTGGGGCCTACTCCCAATGGCACGGTCCATAGAGTTGTTCTAACGACTTTGCTCTGTAATCATATATCCCCGCTGAAACAACAGTTCAGAAGACCTCCCGGAGATCTTAGTCGCATCACCCTTAATTATCTATTTTTGTTATAAAAAAAAAAAAAAAAAAAAAGTGCAAGATCATAAAAATAGGTAAACATGGTTCATTTTGATTTTGAACCAAACAAAAGATAAAGGACCAAAGCTATCATTACCCAATATTGTTTTGAGTGGATTAAAATAAGTAAACTTAATATTCAAACAAGAAGCCAACTCCCTATTTCAAAAGCAGTATTCAAGCAATCTCTTTGTGATCTCTTCTCCCCATCACTGATGCTTCTGATATTCCATTCTTGAGATCTTCAATCAGAAGCTACCTAGATCTCTCTTACACCCCACCGGTGTTTATTTTGTCTCACATTTTCGCCCATACACTTAGGAAGGGTCTCAAATCTCAATCTCTAATCAAAACCCCTGATTCAATTTTAGGTTTTCACCACACTAATTCGGATTCTAGAGCAACAATGGCTGCAGCAAGAACTTCATTTTCTAACGATTCAAGGTTAGTGAAGGTGCCATTGCCGAAGTCTGTATTGCTCAAGGATTATCTGATCGATGATCTTAGTTCGTGTTCTTCTAATGGCTTCAGGTCGTATCCGCGCCGGCCATGTTGCACCAAGGTTCGTTACCTTATTGAAATCGATCTTAATAAACATATTAATCTTCGGCCAACGAAAAAAAAGTTTCTCAGAAGCAAATCAAAATCCTCGTCGGTGCTGCAAAAAGCTTCCGCCGCTGTGGTTAATGTTTTCAAACACTTCCAGTTCTCCGGTTCTGGTAAGCGTGCAAAAGCTAATTTCCTACCGAAGAATCTGTCTCGGAAGCTATCGAACTGGAAGAGAACTATCGATGGTCGTAACAAAGAGTTCAACAAAAGGTTGAATCCGTTAGACGAACCTGTCAAAGAGAAGAATAAGAAGAAAAACGTCCTACGTCCGCCGTCTAAAGTTTCAACCGCTGCCACCACTACTTCGGCGGAGGTGAACACCTCCACAAGTAACAGCAACAACTCCGCCTCGTCGGATAGCTACTTTACCACCACCTCCGTTTGTTCTACAACAAACAGTTCTTCGAAGATCAATGTAGCAATAAACAACGTCGTGGAATGTGAGCAGCACACAACGGAAAAGAAGAATACAGCAAACGGAATGAAATCTGGCGTAGCAACCGCCGCCACCGATTCTGATGTTATCACCAGAAATGCAAAGGTAAGTACAGATCACATGCATCGCACCCCCACAGATAACGCTACACTCATTTGATCAGGTTTCAGTTTAAAATTTTAATTTACACCAATTGCAGATTTTCTTCCATCTCCAAAATTTCACATCTCAGTAGAAATTTACGAAAAATATTACTAAAATTAATTACTTATTGGTACAAAATGAAATATTTGTTACTTTTCTTACAATATTTACACCGTAATTGTCGATGATTTGAAATGTAATTAATTTTCCCGTTTGATATTCAAACTGAGATTTAAGTTATTCAAATTTGAATTATTATTATTTATTACTTTTGGCAAAAGGCATTAATTTTTTTCAGCGAGGAAGGAGGAGTAAAGATAGCTGGGAAGGGTCGGTATAATTTTTATTTTATTTTATATTTTTATGAAGTGCATGTGTTGGTATATCTGATGCACGTGATCTACAAACTAGGGAATTTGCTTTAGATCCCGCCTACGTGTTATTGCTTTACTTAATCTGTGCCGTTAAAAGCTGCAGAACACCATGATATCCTGCTCTCTTCAGTACACGATCCTCGTGATATCTGATGAATAAGATTTGTTATATTTCTATAAGAATAATAAATTGTATATAAACAAAAACAGAATGGTATGGGAAATGAAAAAGATACATCATACATGGGAAGTTGAGGAAATATGGAATTCCAAGGTGTTTTAGTGTGGTAAGAAGATTTGAAGTTGATCGAGTGATTAAGGGCAGGTGTCATTTCATTTGTGTTGTAGTGAGTTGACCTTGATAAGTCAAAAATTCTAATCTTGGGATTTGGCTTACTTTACTTGGGAACCATCATGATTTGTCTTTTACTTAAGATTTGAATTTCATTTGACATTATATTGACCACCTTTGACCATATAATACTATTAATTTGTTACTAAAATATAATTGTAACTTACCATAACCATAAATCTTTGATTTGCTTGTATATATATATATATATATAATATATATATATATATATATATATATAATATATATATATATATATATATATATATATATATATATATATATATATATATATATATATATTGTCTTCTAGGCTCTAGCATATATATGAAATTGAAGAGTTGATTTCTTGATGGTGATAATTGACAGAAAGATGAGGAAAGTGAGAAGAAAGAGCAATGTAGTCCAGTTTCAGTGATGGAGTTTCCATGCGATGATGATGAAGATGAGGTTACTTCACCTTTCCAACATTCTCACTTATATGCGGAAGGTTGGACTCTTATCTTTTTTCTACGTAATTTATCTCAATATAATAGAAAACAATTATAACATAAAACGTTTAATCTAACCAATATATAAAACATACTAGATAAATGGTATCCAACTAAAAACATAAAAGGTTTTATTGTTCACAGTTGAAAATTTTGTAGGGTTTATTATTATATGTTTATAATAATGACATGCAAAATATGGTGTACATGTAACAGGAACCAAACGAAAAGTCATGAGCAAGGTTCAAAGGGTTAAGAGCCTTGTAAATTATAATAAGCTAAAGCCTGTCAGATTAGAAGATAGGATTGCATTATCAGAGTCTACAACTACAACGCCTGATTTGTTGTTACATGATGAATCATCCAATCAAACTAGAAAGAAAGCAACTGCATTGCTTCAACAATTTAAAGCAACGATGTCTTCTAGTAATCAATTTGAATCCATAATGACTCAAAATGTCTTGTTAGGGTTCTTTATAGAGCGAATTATGGAAGGAAGTAGTGCCTCTAACTTCGCATTACTGCAAGAAGCAAAGAATTGGATCAATGGAGATGGATATGCAAGAGAGATAACATTCGAGTATCTTGTAAGAGAGATGGATAAAGAAAAAATCAAATGGGACAAATATGATGATGAAGTAGAAAAACGACAAGTGTGTTTGGTGTTGGAATGCCAAGTTTTCACTTCTCTAGTTGAAGAGATGTTACTCGAGTTTTATATGTAGTTCATATATATAGGAAAACAAATATTATTGTGACATGATTTAAATTCTCATTGATCATGGTTCATATTGAGGTTAGTTTTTTTTTTTTTTTTTTTTGCTATATTAATTTGAGCAAGATAGAGTAGATTAAGGGGTAGCGTTTACCCTTAATTTACAATAAATCAACTTTAAATTGGGTTAAGTGCTACTTTATGTACAACATTTTATAATTTTTTCAATTTAAGCGCAAAGTTGTTTATTAGACAAAATATTCACATGCAACATTGTAACCATGAAGATGTCGCTTTATGAATAAATTTTAGTTTGTTGAACAAATTTAGTTTTGTTTATATCAGTCTGCAATAAATTTTAGTTTGTTGAACAAATTTATTAAAAGAAAGGAATTATACAATCATGTTTCAAGTTATTATACATGTTAATATGATGCATGTTTGATGTATATATAATAAAACGTTGTTGCATATTTCATAAAAAAAAATGAAGTTGAAAAGGAATAAAATGTTGACATATAGTATTAATCACTTTTTAGAATCTATATTATTAAAGCAAAAAAAAAATTCCTCTTAATCATGTACGAAAATGTACCAAATTTTATAGAACTCTGAAAGGCCTAATCCTATAGTTGTTACGTTACAAGTAAGATAAACATATTTATTATTTGATTTGATACGTGAGTCTAAGAAATTCTTCTCACGTGTAATGTTTAGGTTAAACATTGACACAAACCTTTGTAAGTAAACACAAAATATACGTTATGTTGAAATGAATTTGACCCAGCCTTCTATCTAAATCACAACAAGATTGCCTAACTACGGTTACAAAAAAAAATAATAATAATAATAAAATAAAAAAATTAAAAAAAAAAAAAATGTAAGTTGTAACCATGCTTCATGTTAAAAGTTTGAGTAATTTTCAGTTTTGGTCCCTAAATTAAAACTATTTTGTTCTGTGTTTATAAATAGTTTTAATTGTTATTTTAACCCTTTCCACTCTATCATTTACAAATCCTTCTA